TATTATTATTATTATTATTATTATTATTATTATTATTAATTAAATTATTGACAGAGTAATTATTGTAATGAACAAAAGATGCGGCTAAACAACATATAAAAAGAATTGAATCTGTATAAACATATGTACATGCAGAAATAACTGTTAATTAAATGGTATAATTAAATATTTTCGCCAAAATAGGACAAAAGCAATTTAAAAAAAAAAATGGGAAATCCATAGGTGAAGTAATATTCCATTCAAACAATTTGGAACAGAAAAAAGGCATAATTTTAGCAAAATCATTTTTTCTTTGCCTTTGGCATTTGTTTTATAGAAAAGCACAAAGAGAGAGCGCAAACGACACGACAGCGACATGTACGCACTGATATAAACAAACAAGATCGTAAGGACAAAAGAAAACAGTATGGTTTTATGCGAGATGGTAAAATGATGCGGGACCGGTTTAATGAAAAATGTCATCAATCGTAAACGGATGCATTGGTTCTTCCTAAAAATGAAGATTTTTTTTTTTTTGTAATTTTTTGCAATTTTGTTTGTTTGTTTTTTTTTTTTTTTATTGAAAGAACACATTACAGTTTGGTAGTTTAATTAGCTATTTTATCAAGTGAAGCTATTTTACATGGTATCAGTTTATTATTAATGATAATTGCATGGTATCACTTATGGTACTTCAAAATATGATAGCATATTGGTATATATGATATAGCAAATTCATTTCAGAAAAATCATTCAGAATGTTAGACTTTATTGGGATGAAAAAATCATATTCAATTAGCTGTTTTCTGATTTAAAGAAAAAAAAAATGAAATTATCTAATTGCATTTTAATCAAATTTTTGAAATTTGCATAAAATTGTAACTCGAATATTACGGTATTTTAGATATGATTATTGAGAAGTTTGAAGAAAAATTTAATCTAAAACATAAAGTAGATCTAATTTCCTTTTATTTCACTGATAATGATAACTAGCATGCTGTAGCAGTATTGCGTGCATATAACTGTATAATTTACCGCTTAAATTGAATAACACATCAATGCTGTCTAATGTAAATGAAACATTTAATGAAAATAACTTTATGACATTTCCGCATTCATTTTATCATCGCTTTCATTTCATTACAATTGACTAAAGCATCATCGATCAACCATTGATAATATTTGGATTGATGTAAATAAGTCAGTACAAAATATGAATGAATGAAGAAAGATGACGGAGATGTTAGCTAAAATGGTTGAATATATGAGGAGAGGCAAATTTTTGGCATTTTGAAGTGGATTTATATATATGCGTATGTGTGTGTGTGTGTGTGTACGTGTGTGTGTGTGTGTGTACGTGTGTGTGTGTGTGTGTACGTGTGTGTGTGTGTGTGTGTACGTGTGTATGATGTATGTGTGTGTGTGTGTGTATGTGTGTGTTTGTATGTGTGTGTTTTGGTAGAAGTGTTGATTAAGAAAGAATTTTTGTAATAAAAGTAAACACAATTGGCAAGATAATATTACTTTGCTAACTTTATTCATTCTAATTTTAACAATCAATTTACTTTTCCTTTTTTTTTTCGTTGTCAACAATTTGCTGCATCTCAAAATTTGCAATTATTTTAATGCATTTAACAAAAAAGTAAATAATTCTTCAGCTAAAGAAGAACAAAATTATAATGCTTTATTCATAGATATATTATCATTATTATTAATAATATTTTATTTGTAAATGAAAATATGATTAGTTAGCTTTTTGAATTGTAAATTTACTCAGCAAAACTTTCGACAACATCATCATGCAATTATGTGTTATGATTTCGGTCAACCTGAACTATTTACTTTTGTTAAGTTTAAATGAATTTACTTTATTTACTCTCCTTTAAGTTCGAACAAAAATTTAAGTTTGCAACAGGAAAGTTGTTAAATATTATGAAAAATTGAAAAATTGGATATTAATTGGATATAGAAAATAGTTAATTGAAAGACATTATTGAATAATTGATTTTGTTATTTTTAATCTCGTAACTTCTAACAATTTCAATTAATAAATTTTTCATTTATCCATCCATTTTTTACTGTTTCAATCATATTCAAAACATTTTTAAGAGGATTGATAAAAAGGAAAAGAAAACAGAAAGTGAAAAACGTCAACTTGCAGAAAAACGAATTGAAGAAATGAAATAATTGATTGTAAAGTTTCTGTCTTTCTGCACTTCGACTGTCGTCATCATTACATGTACCCCCAACCAGTATTTCAACTAAATGCTTCAAAAGGAGAGAAAAATTTCAGAAACATTAAATTACATGATTCGATTGTTAAATTTGCATAATGAGCTAACAGATCCTATCATCGATCTTTTCAATACTCGAGAGTTGAGTGAAAAATTATTATTTCAAAAAATTTAATCGTAAAATCGTGTCGGTTACTCTAATCATATTGTTTACTTCAAATTAATGTTTACATGGTTTATATTGTTTACTTGAGAAAATGATTTTAGCAGAAATAATAATGAAGATAATCACATATGATAATCATAACGGTCATTCTAACTATATCAATCATATTCTGATGAGATGAAATTGTTGAAAAAATGATGATTGCATTGTGTTAATGATTCAAAATATATCGATTATTTGTGTCAGATCATTTCGTCGTAGTATTGCTCGTACTGTTTCAATTATAATAATCAGAAATTGTTAGCTGATATAAAAGATTATTCAGGAGAAAATTCAATGATGAATCAAATGCTGAATATAAACTATCATTTGACAAAATTTGAATAAATTATTACTTTGAACCAATTTGAACTAATTAATCTATTTCAAAAATTATTGACATCAGTAAGCTATCTACTAAAATTTGACATGATCAATCGGATAACATCTTAAGTAATATCACTGCTGTTTCTCGATATCCGCGATACTGTCTATAAGGCTTATTCACTAATACTTAATAGAATATTATAATTTACCTGCAATTTAACGGTATTGTATAAATTATATTTATTTTTGCAATTTCAATTAGTGGAAAAAGTTTTTTAATAATACAAACAATATTTTTGCAAAACTTCAAATTTCATAACAGTTATTTTACGAATTAAATCAAGTAAGTTATTAAATTGAAAGTAGAAAAAATTACAGCTTGAATTCAAAAGAAGCATCCGAGCTATTACTTATATACAATAGTTGGATTTTATTACGTGATTTAAGTAATATTTTACATTATTAAATATTTTTCAAGAGCTATTATTTTATTTATAAATACCTTTTTTCAGTTTTATTGATTAATCATTTATATAATGTTCCAAATTAAAGAATAAATTAAAATTTCGCAAATTTTGTTCCCAAAAAATTAGTTCTTTTTTTAACTTAGCACTTATTTGTTCAATTAAACATCCAACATGCAAAGGTTAATAAGTAGGGATAATTAAAGATTAAATTTAAATCCCCATTTCATTAACAAGGACATATCACGAGTGCTATTTGTGAATTTGCATGATTAGCCTGCTTGATTAAACAAATGGGTACTAAATTAAAAGTTGTTTAATTAATCGCTTACGTATCTTTTTTAAGAAAAGTAACTCTGATCAATACTGTTTATAACGAATGTGATCATTTCGATTGCATTTTCTAATTTAATCGTAAATTATGCTAATTCTGAAGTAATTTCGATGAACTTCTTTTTTTTTATAAATTCTCTTGTAATTTAAAATGTTTAATCCAAAATCTTCCTTTTAAGTAATTTGAAAAAATTCATTTAAGATCCTCTTTCAAATGCTTAAATGTTTAAATTAGTATATAATAGTTAAATATAGATCAGTGGTATCCAATTTGAATTGTAATTTTTGCTTTTCATTCCAAAATTTAGTGCTTAACTGTAAAATGCTTGCATTAGCGTCGTCCGGCCAATCACATTCACCAGTTATACATGAAAGGGATAAGGCTGTTTAACTGATTGTTTGATATTCGATATTCGAGAATTTTATTAGCATCATTTTCAACATGATATACAATATCAACATAAAATAAGGTCAAGAATTAACGGTAGCCAATGAGACGACACTGGAGATTTTTTCATCACTGATTATTAAATCAATAAGTCTTTCTGTTAGGTTATATTTGCATTTGTGGCTCAAATCAAACAAATTTAAATTATATTCTTCATTTATCAAAAAAAATTTCCACAAGTATGATGTAAGAGCAATATAAGACAATCACTTAAGTTATTGTAAGCTTGCTGTCTCAATTCTTTTCTCATTTTTGCTTTGTTTTGATTAATTAAAATTAACTATTGATAAACAGTGATTGCGAAAGTGATAAATTGAATTATCAGTGCAGAATGAATTTGCTTTTATGAATGCTTCACATTTGTAACAAATTGTACCAAATGATTCAAATGAACGTAAATAATCGAATAATTCAATATTTTTAATTTTTCGATGATCGATTAATTTCATTCCTGAAAATCAAGTTCTACTAGCATGCATGATCATGCATGATCAACATTCCCGAGTTCAAAATTTAATCATAACATTTTAATCTATTAGCACTAACCTTTTTTATTTCAGATTATACTTTTATGCTAAATATATACTTAAAGCAATTGTTCGTGAGGTAAAAATATCTGTTGTTATGTTGAAATTAGCAAAGAAAAATTCTAATAATTAATCAGAATAGTATATGAAATTGAACTTATTAGTAATATCAAAAAATATTGAATATCATTTTTTACGAAGACATCTCAACGATTCATATTCCCAATCGTACGGATATTCTTTTAATTGTGCTTCAAATAAAATTTTTCGAAGTAACTGAAAAGCAATTTTTTTTTTGATTTGCTTTTCTAATATTTTTATTTTACTTGCTCATTTAATTAAAATTAATTTAACTATTACAGATGGATATTGTTGAAAAAATTACATGTACATTCTTATCGATTTAATTATTAATTCTATTTAATTTGCAAAGCTATTGAATTATGAATAATTCAAATAAGAAAGCATTTTCTATTTCAAGTATTCAAGTATCAGTGGGAATTGAATGAGTGAAAAACCTTGTAGATAAAATCATAATCTGGCTTAGATGAATATTTTAATTTGAATATATATTTCATAATTTCCATATATTTTTTTGGACAAGATTTTAGAAGCTTCTGCATACCATCATTTGTTCGAATTGTTTCCTGTAAAGAAAGAATTTAGCATACGTACAATATATAGATTAAATTCAGTACTCATATACTAAAATTGTATTTACTCAATTTTAAAATTTATTTTTAATTTAGAGATTCAAACAAAGCTAGCATAATGTGAAAGAAATATGATTGATTATTTTATTTGCTTCTTTTTTTTTCTTGAAAAAATTACAACTGCAACATACTTTAATACTCATAATAGCTTGCTCATCATCAAGATTTTTCCACGGTAAACATCCTTTTGTAAATTCAATCTGCTGATACATCCAAGATTCGAGATCATCACGACGACCTGGTGGACGACGTTGATGACATCCCAGTGGTGCATAACGTAATGTTCCTTTGAAAGTGATACCCTAAATATATGCTTAAATTTTGAAAATTTAAAGAACTAAGAAAAAAAAAATTTTTAGATAGAAATTAAAAGACTAAAGATTAAACGATTTGATACGTACACGTTTCTCGTGCTTTAATCGATCATTGGAATCGACGTAATGATAGCTCAAACCAAAATCGATGAGAAAAATTTTCCGTGCGCCATATAAAAGATCATTTCGTCCGGTAGCAAAATTTGATGGTTTTATGTCGCTTAAAAATTATTGCAAATTAACTTCAATAATAAATATACAAGAAAAAAAAACAACAACAACAAATATTTCAATATAAAAGGAGAAAAAATAATCAACCGGTTTAGACTTATGATTGCATATTACATTATCAAAGAATGAATCCTACTTTTTGATAACATAAATTAATTATTCAAAAAGTTAAGCTCAAATAATTGAAATATTTTTTTTTTTATTTTCTTCAAGATTGCAGCATTGGCTAACTTACTTACCGATGAATGAATCCAACTCGATGAAGTTCTTCGATTGCTTCAACACATTGCAAGCCAACTGAAATAACACATCCGGCAGAGAGTTTTTTCCTTTTCCGCTCCAACAGAATATCCTAATATTATCAAATTTCAATAAATTTTAAAGGAAAAAATTTTTTGTGAAGTTTAAATAAATTCTATTAAAAAAAAAAAGCAGTCCATTAACTTACTCGTAATGATTTGCCGACAAGCGTCATTACAATGTATTCAGAGCCAAAATATTTCCCATAATCAATAAGTCGGCAAATATGCTTACTTTCCGCTTGTTTTGCTAATTCCAGTACGTGCTTTTCAACTAATAGCTGTTTCTAAATTAAAAAGTAAATTATTTAGCTCAAAAATTTAATTTAAATACAGATTAAGAATATGTGACATTTTTTTTTCAATTTACAATAGCAAAACATGCAACAATTGTGAGAATTTAATTTGTTCATTTTAATTATTATAAAAAAAATAGATGAAATAGAAGAGTGATTGATTATTGATTATCAGTATGATATGAAATAAGCTATAGAATTAGCGATGATCTTGCAATCAATTGTTTATCGTATATGATCTTTCTGATAGAGATTTATGATAATAAATAATTGTTTATTTAATAATGAATTTCAAAAAAAAAAGGGTTAAAAATTACATCACTACAATATCCGAGATCGAATTTAAGCGCATACCTTTCACCGTGATATCCAACCTGTAAAATTATTAACTTTAATCAATTGTTTTAAAAAAAATAGATATATACATGGTGTTATGTGTTATATTTGATCATCAGCAAATAATTTTTAAAATAATTAATTAAAGTAAATAGCTAATAGCTTATAAAACAATTGATTTAAGTTAATAGCTAATAGCTTATATTAAAAATTATTTAAAAAAAAAGGAATTTAGGATAGGATATGTCACCAATGTTTGTTGATTAATTTAATTTGATTTGTAGAATATTGAAAGACAAACTTTGTAAACACATCCAAATGCTCCTTTACCAATAAGCCCCAAAATTAGCCATTTATTGACCCGATGATTTTTTTTTAGCTCTGTGATACTGATAGCTTTCTCATTTTTTCCATCTTCTTGCGCTAAATGATTTGCTGACAAATTTCGTTGTTGTTGTTGTTGTTGTTGTTGTTGTTGTTGTTGTTGTTGTTGTTGTTGTTGTGATTGCTGTCGTGAATACTTTAACAGTGATTTTTGTGTTGATTGAATAGCGGTTGCAGTTCTATTGGTATCACCTATTTGTGATGTACCCATGACAAATTTCACTGCTATAACTAACTTATCACCGTATCATCGAATCTTTTTGGTTACTGCTATGCAATTTTGTTGATTTAGTTTGTAAAAATTGGTTTTAAGTTTTTTGCTTAAATAAATTTTGCTAGCTGAAATTGATACTTTCCTTCTAGCAACATCTGGTCATTCGATAATTAAGAAAATGATCAAACTTAATGATATGATATGTTTATAAATTTAATCTATTTTTCATAAATTAGCATAATTTAATTTTGAAAAATTTGCATATTTTCGGATAGATTTTTTGTTTAGCAAAGACAAATATGAAAAAAAAAATTGATATTATTTTTTTTTCAGGTTTTTGTCTTTTTTATTTGTTTTTTTTTTTAGCAAAGTTTATTGTTTATCGAATAATTATTTTGTTTTTATTTTTTGATGCAAATATTTTAGCATAAAAGTATGCTTCAAAAATGTTTTGCATTTTTTTTTTTTTTTGGAATAATTGTGTTAAACCATTGAGGAGGAGTATTTGAAATAAAAATTAATTTCAAGAAAATGCCATTTTAATTGGTGAAAATTTTTTTCAATACATTTTCACAGTTACTGTTATTTTAAGCATTCAATTTTTGCTTAAAGTAATTATTTCGAAATGCTTTGTTCGAACTGAATAATTAAGAAAATATTCTGATTACATCTCTCTTGCCAAATTAATTTCCAATGAACATATAGTGATTTATCTAATATGGTACATATTAAGATAACAGTAATAACTTATCACTTACATATTTTGAATGGGAAGTTTGAACAAAAAT